ATAACAGATAGTGCGCAATTAGATCCTGACTACCTCCCGTATTTTCTAGGATCTTACTCTGGCGGCTGGCTTTATTTGCACTTCGACAGCTACCGTAGTGCAGATTCTGGGAATCCAAACTCATTGTGCGTGCGTTCACGCACAGCTAGGCTGCTCCGCAAACCCCGGCCTCTCCACAATCCCTTCGCAATTGGCGCCGTCTCAGCTGTATCTAGAGACATGGCTTCCAATGCTCCAGCAATACCACTCCGTAGACAAAGGCAGTCTATCACGAAGCGAGCACCTTCTGCACAGCAAGACGAAAGCGAGCTCACCCAGCACCCCATTGAGAACAACGACTCAGATGACGATCTCGAAGTTGATCTCGCCAAAGCCGCTCTGGCTACTGGAACGACAGCTTTCGAGTCGCAGCAATGGATGGAAGCCGAGTCACTTCTAGAAGAAGCTCGTCGTGTGCTGGAAACACTTCCAAGAGAACGACGCACATTCTGCGACATCTTCGATCTCCATTTTAAGATGTCTATTTGCACATACTACACGCAGGATCATGCAACTGCGGAAGAAGCGCTCATAAGCCTGAGTCAACATGAAGTTACTTCTGATGCGCAGCAGGAGCGTATGTGCGAGGCGTCGCATCTACTGTCCCAGCTGTATGTACAGATGGATAGAGTTGGTCTTGCAAAGGAAGAATGCGAGAGAACGTTACAAACAAGAAGGCGCCTGTTGGGGAAGCGCAGCGATGCTTCTTTTGAATCCATGGCACTTATGGCACATATCTGCGTCCTGTTAGACAACCGTGCCTTGGCCAAGACGTACCTTTCCATGATCTTAGAAGATAGACGAGAAGCTATACTCAAGAGACTTGGAATGTCTTTGGGTGTGGGGTTGGGCCATCTGGACTTCTCGTCGATCATGTATAGTCGACCACCCGAGACACCCTTCCCAACAACGAAGGGGATCCAAGCTGAACATACTGTGAATTCAACCGCAGTGTTTCCTACAGACCGAGGCCGACATCGACGTCCACCCGCTGCGGCACATTCCCCAGCGCCGAGTCGCAGCTCGATTGCCACTTCCGCAAGCAGTCCAAATTTTTGGCAGTCGCCGCCCAGGAACATGCCTGAGGACAACAGCCCACATGTGCAACAGGCAAATTGGAATACACCTCTTTCCTCGATGGGGGGGAGTTTCGATGCGGCACCTGCATTGAATCAAGCAGTAGCTCAAGGCCCGAACATGATCGTCAGCGCCCCTACTACCCCTGCTACAACAACAAGAGAGCTGGAGGTCAGGGAACAAAAACAAGTACAATCATCGCCCACCCCTACTGCGTCCTTGTCTCGAAAAGATATCCTCGAGAAAGTCGGTTGTCAACCACGAGACAACATTGAAGAAGCAGTCTGCAAGGGCGACCACGGAGGCCTTGCAAAACTTCTCGACAAGAAGAAAAGTTTCTGGCGCGGCACTCTACGCAAACACGTCCGACCGGAGCGTGTTACGGCACTACACTTTGCCGCACTGTTTGGTGAGGTAGGCATGGCACGCCACCTGATAGCCGCGAACTACAACGTCAATGAAGTCCCTTTTGGATACTCTACCAGCCTCACTCCGCTCCATTTCGCGCTCGGCGCGCGGCAAGTTGAGATGGTCCAATTCTTGATTGCGAACGGTGCTAGGCCTGTGGAGCCGGATACCTGGTCCACGCTCACGAGCCAGTTGATGACACGCTCATGGCTGCTTAAGACACTTTCAGACTCCGAGAGGGATGGTGCCGCAGATCGCATTATTGCGATATTAGAGATCCTGCTCAAAGCAGGGTGGCAGATCGATATGCCATATGGGACGATAAAGGCTACAGTCTTGCACCAAGCTGTTGCCTTCTGGACAGGCTCGTATAAAATGGATATGGAGCTGCGCGCTGCTGTGACGCGGTTTCTGTGCAGTAGAGGCGCTGATCCGTTACGGAGGAATAGTGAGGGGAAGACAGCTTGGGATCTTGCGAGTAAAGAAGGGCATCAAGATGTACTGAAGATCTTGGATGAAGCTGGAAGAAGGATAAATGCCAGAAACATGCAGCCTGTGGAGCTGCCGGGGCACTAGTGAGTGCATTGAGGCCCATGGGGTTTGCAAAAGCTCCTTCTCGCTGTCTGCAAGAAAACATGCCGCTCTCAAGCTTTATCTCCTCTTGTGCGACCCCAATAGGACATCATAAAACAGGAAGAGCTCGGGTCACGAGTATGGGCCTGTCGAACGAACGACACTATGTCTAATAGGTGGTGTTTGATGCTCATACAACCAGAGAATGGGCGTGTCGAGGACCAGTGTGACCTTTGAGAAAGCTTTTCAGAGAGTATCTTCAAAATGCTCTCGCACTTCAATGGATATCTAGATAGATCCTTCTGGGTACGCAGCAGACGTTCATAAATGCGTCGCAGCGTAGCAAATCAGGCAATCTGGACTACTCGTATCATGTTGCTTGTGGAGATATAGTGCCCACTCTCTCTGTTGCGCGATAGTTGTGAGGGGTTTGTCTACGTGGAGAACGGAAGATTCGACGCTTCATGATAGCAGAGTTGGGCTTCACCAACAGGTGTATCTTTGTGTGGTGGCGACTCTTCGATATCCTTGAAAGCCATGGCGTAGGGGAGTCGCAGTTCTGAAATCGAAGAACTCTGCATGTCTGATTGCGTTTTGCGGGTAGCGAGGATATTAGATGTGCGTCAGTGAAAAGAGTCCAGGGTTGCACCATGGTTGGGTGTACCTTCTACTACCCTGCCTTCAGCTCTGTCGCACCTGAGCAAAAACTGTCATATCATGTAGAGCTTTAGTGGTGTGACTTGTGTAATTAGACCAGTCAATTCAGACGAGCCCTTGGCGCCAACGATCAAGAAGCGTGCGCAGCAGAGGCACTCCGTCGTGGGACTCTCAAACCGCAACGTCACTTCTGCTACGAGCACTAACTGCATAGTGCTCTCAGTCTATTCGCACAACGCGCATAATGCTAGGCAGATATTTATGGATGGGTATAGTAAGGGTCACAACCTTTAAATGCCATTGCCGTGTGAACGCCGACCTTGTGAACATATGATGATACAGAACGCTCAACCTTCGGCGCCTATACGCGCTCAGTCATCTGACCCGTCCTCAGGTAGGTGTTGTAATACATCCTCGACTATGCTCATCAGCTCATCGACATCCGGTCTCTCGCTCGGCTCCAGCATCAAACACTTCCGTACGACATCCTTGACAGCATCGCTGATGCCCTCGCCGTCTGCTGGCGCTTTCTGCTTGCCCCGCTGTGGCCCCTCATCGGGGAACCTCCAGTCGCCGCCGAGCACGCAAATGCTCAAGCTGCCACCGGTCTCGTCGCTCCTGAACTCGAAGGGCGATTTGCCGACCAAGCACGCGTATAGCGTGCAGCCGAGCGACCAGATATCCACCTTTGTGTCAATGACGGAGCCAGTCTTGACGTCGAATAGCTCTGGAGCGCGGTATGGCATCGTCGAATGTTCGGCGGCGGTATCTTGAACTTGCAGAGCGAGCGAGCGCGAGGTAATTGGTGTCGGTGAAGGTGCTAATGAGCCAAGATCCATGAGAATGGGTGACCTGCCATCATCGTCGATCATGATGTTTCCTGCGCTTGTTAGCTCTTTGAGTATGAAACTGAAAGCGTTGATACATACCAGGCTTGATGTCACGGTGGGCATACGCCCTCTCTCCACCAGGCGCAATGCCTTCCTGAGCCATTGTGACATTACTCTCCTCCAGCAGACCCTCTGCCTGTTCGTCGTCTTCATCGTCGTTCTCATGATGTCGTCGGCTCGGTCTCATCTCCATGCTCTGTGCTGCCTCTGCATCTGCACGCGCCGCCTCTCTCCGGACCTTCTTGGCCTTGCTGTCGCTCTTCGCGCCGCCTGGTCCGCCCTTAACCTTGTATTGGTGCATAGCCTTCAGCGCCTTGCAGACACCCAGGAACAGCACCATCAAGCGCTTCTCTGGGAACTTTGTATGGTTAACGAGGTTCGCGTTGATCATATCCTGCAGGTTGCCGCGGCGGTAATATGGGAGGAGGATGTAGACCGTCTTCGCCGAAGGATCTGACTTGTCCGTTTCGACCGAGTAATCTATCGAGTGGATGATATTGGGGTGCGGCGAGAACAGCGTGTATGCTTCGACCTCCTTCAGCGCTAAGCTGACACTCTCCTGGCCGAAGGGACATCTTATCTTCTTGAGCGCAAGAAGTTGCTGATTCGAGTTGTCTTGTACAAGATACACGTAGGAGAAGCCACCCTGCGCATGGTCAGTCATCGGCGCTTCTGTCGTTCCAGCAGCGTGCTTGCCTCGCCCAGCAACCGCAGGATCTTGAAGCTGCGACTGTTGATCTTGAGCTGTGGTGAGCTCGGAAAGCACACCATGCAGTTTGTGAACGAATAGACCACGTCCAGGAAATATGTGGCTAATGACCCCATCTTGCCGGTTGTGAATGTGTACGGAGCTGTTCGAAGCTGGGGAAGCTCAATACCGAGCTGGGCGCGCGCAAGCAACGTAGCCTGAGTGGAAAGCGAATGTTCGTGTAGTAAGGGATGGAAGGATTACGGGGTCGTGTTACGAGCGAATTGATCGGTAGGTTGTGTCTGTTTGTGAGATGTCTTGTGTTGTTCCTGACTTGGGCGCAACTGGTGTTCGGGGGCTGACGTGTAGTTCGTCCGAGACGCGCCAAGTTGTGGCTGTGCGTCAGTCCTACTGAGCAGGTTGTGATGCTTGACGATGGCGTCTCAAATGCAGTCACAGGATGGCAGATGTCTGATATCCGGGCATCTCAAGCCTCAAGAATTGGGATTGTTGTGTTTGTTCTACCCGTCCCCATTCGTAAATTGCGTCAGATCTAGGCAGACACCAGCTCCAACCTAGCTCTTCCATTCCGCCAAACTATCGTGATAAGATCGTCAATTAACAATATAATAATTTCACAACATCTTTGATTCATAGAACAAACCGGTGGGCATCTGGCGCAGTGGTAGCGCGTCCGCTTTGCATCTTGCAAGCTTGCGGAAGGTCTAGGGTTCGATCCCCTAGTTGTCCAGCTTTTTTTTGTGCCCCAATTGAATCCTCTTGTCTGTTTTATCTTGGAGTTAGGACGAACATAATAACAGCGGGAAAGCGTTGAAGTACAGCTATGGGTCTCTCATGTCGTGACAAGAGCTGAATCGACCGCTTAAAATCTCAAAGATGCAGGGGGTCTTCAGCAACAATCCAGGTGATCTTTGGAGATTTACAGGACTATTGACGACTATACTATCTGGTTGTGTCCGGTTTTGTGCTGCATACTAACCATGTGTCCGGTTCCAATAATATCAAAGCTTTATCTTGGAATTGTCAAGACACAACGAAGCGGGTATCTCCCTCTTCCAGAACCTTTTTTTCTTAGTCAAGCGCCAGTACGATGAATGCAAACGGATATGGATGGTTGGTTATGTCCATGCTTGGATATCATTCATTAAGGGAACTCAGGAGCTCATTGCGGCGTCTACAACGCATCGCGTCCCGTCATCATCACACCCCTCTTCCTCATCCTCTCCTCTACCATCCTCTTGCTGTACTCTGTCTTCGTCTCATTGCTCCCAGAGAACAAGTTCTGCACCTTGCCGAAGACCAGATCCGTGTATGTGTTTTCCGGCGCAGAGAAGTCCATCGTGAAGGCGCTGACACTTACTCCGCCACCAGCAACGACCCAGGTCTCGCCCGGCAGACTCGTGTCGCCGTTGTACGCAGCATTGATGCCCGCTGCCACGGGGTCGATGTTATCCCAGTCGAACAGGCCCGTGGTCTCGTTGTAGACAGCAACGTCGGTGTTTGCATTTCCAGTGAGGCGGGTCTTGACAATCGGCGGTGTTGTGCCGTTGACAAGCTCGGGGATGTTGACATTTACCCCATAGCCGGAAGGAAGAACGGACTGGCCGGACGGTGTGTTCTCGATGAACTTGTTGACAACTTCGAAAGTGACCCTTGCCGCGAGTGCAGCGGGGTGGTTCGGGCCGGTGACATTGAAGTAGGGTACTGCTTTATTGGACGCGCTGGTCGCAATACCGGGGATGGTGCGCGAGATTGCCGCGAATGTTGCGCCAACCGTGCCGCTGAGACCCATTACAAAGGCACCCAGGTTTGTGCCGTAGTTGGGACCTGCGACAAAGAGATCGGCAGTCCCGTGCCAATCGGGGTAGTAGCGCGGAAGTACATAGTCGAGGGCGACAAAGGTACATGCTGCAGGTGTGCCATCGTAGTACCAGATGTCGTCGTCGTTGGGATCGCGGCCCACTGACTTGGATCCCGCGGGGACGATATCGTATTGTGAAGCGACAGTGAGGTTCGCGCTCTCGGCCCAGATTACGGTTCCTCCTTTGCCAGACTGTTGTTGAGCGGGTGCGACTACAAGGACTGAGCACTATTAGCCGACTCCTTCCTTCCAAGGCATGGTTGAACAATTGGAGCCTACCATCGTGACCAGCCTCCTTGAGAAGTCTGTAAAGCTCGCGCAAGTTGCCGCTACCAAAACCATCGTCATTGCCCATAAGGATCCTCAGAGCATCGCTCGTGGACGCAAGGCCCAAGGCTGCTGTGAGCACTGTGGGCAGGGAAACGCGCATCTTGAGAAGGGTATGCAGGAGAGGTTAGAGTCCAATTAAAGAGACGTGACCAAGCAAGATCAATTGAAAGCTGCCTGAAGTTCTACAGTACGGTATGCCTGCTCTTATGTCTTTTTTTACTTTCGTACTATGTCCAATGTCACCCTTGCATCCCGGAGCATCATGACGGTAGTTTGTGACTATCGCTGCAGGAACGACCGCATATCCGGGCCCGATAGCGGGGAAGCTCTCACCTGCGCTCAATGCTGGATTTGATTCGATGCTGATAACATGGTTTGGTGATGCGGCTTGTTGGAGTGCCCAGCGCTAAACTAGCGCATGCGAGATAGGAAGGAGGGCACGCGTGGCAAGCGAGCGTTCCTGGTACGGATAAGCATTTCATCGGAACCCAGCGATGCTTAAGCTATACAATGTTGTAAGCGAAGCTCCCTTTATCGATGCCAACTTGGACAAAAGTTCGGCATTGGTTATTTGGTGACCGCTGAGAGGTCTTTATTACTCGTCGATGGTTATGGTTGCAGTGAGGTGGCAAGCGCAACGCCGTTCTGCTCGATGTTTTCCACTGGACCAATCTCAGACTGGACTTGGTCCTGAAATGCTTCAACCACGCCACGGAGATTCAAAAGTGGTGTGTCGATAGGTGTTGTTTCAGCGGCTGGCGTGAGCACCATGGGCGAGGAACGAGTCGAGCACAGAGTTGCGAGCCGATCTGGCTGGTGTCTTGACATCTCAATGGGCCAATCGAGCCACTTGATCAGTTCTGGAGTCGGTGCGAAGAGCTCTTCGCATGCGCGGACCAGTCGAAGCAGCCAGCCTCTCAACCACCAAGCCTGCGTATTACAGTCGAGCAGAACTGCCCAGTAAACGATTGTAAGAGCACCGACGTGGTTTCTAGCGTGGCACAAATTCAGAAAATCGTTGCTCAGCAGCGCAGACCTACACAAGATGATTTGGCATTGTTCCGTTTCACTCCAAATCGGACCGATCAACTTACCACGTCATGATAATGCTATGCTTCTGCTTTGAACAAGCACATAGCGTTGTCTTAATAAACGTCTGATGAAGGTTTTCGATTGCCTCTAGGCAAATCTGCTGCTGTGGCGCGTCAAGTCGCTTGGCCAGTTGTTTCAAATCGAGGATTGGCGTACATTGAATGTCTTCAGGTAAAGCTGTATCGTCCATAAAACGCGCAGGTGCGAGCAGCCTATGGATTACAGGGTCTTTTTGGAGCGGTATCCAATGCTGGCCAATGACAACTTTCACCCCCCGAAGCAGGCGAAAGCAATGTAGAATAGCACCGAGGGGATCCTCAGGCTCTTCAATCTGTGCCGTAGCAAGGTTGTAGGCAAAGCAGATGGATGAGAGGAGAAAGCACGGAACCACTGTCTCCGCAGCGTTCTCTTCAAGAAGCCTCAGATATGTTGCAAGCGAGGCAGACATGTGCGCATCAGCTTGCGCAAGCAGACTAGCGCGACTACCCTTATCATCGACCAACGTCTTATGCAATGCGGCAAGAGCAAGGATTGCATGCAGGAGGAACGTGTGGTGGAACGCTACGTCGACGACTCCTTCACTCCACATCCATTTGTCGTCCTCGCTAGTAGGGTCGTGAAAGAGACGAACTCTAGTCGACCAATGATGCAGCAATTGCATATCTTCAAGAGTGAACACAGGTCGCGCGCCTATCGATGGTGTTGGGAGAGGACTGTTGATATGGGAGTTTTCGCGAGACGTAGAGCTCTGTCCAAAGGCAGTTGGTTGTGATGAAGCATGTTGTATCCTTGCCCGTAGAGGCGGCCATTCGCACTTGACCTCCAGTCGTATACAGCTCGCGCAAGTTGGATGCTCCTCATTACACTGGGTTCGGTGGTCAGTACTTCTAAGAGAACCATGTTATGGGCTTCGCGATTGCTGTTACAAGGAGGTTGTAACACTAACAACCGGGGTATCGGCTGGGGTCGGCAATCTGTAGTCAAGACACGCAGGACAGAACTTGCCTTAGTGTGCCTCTTCTTACATTGTAGGCAACCCTTCCTTGACTTTGAATGGGTTTTGCGCCTTGCTGGAACGACTGGCATTGGCTGTGAGTTTGTTGGCGTGAATGTTCGCGGGGATGTTAGGGGTACGGAAGCAAACGACACAAATATTTCGTGGTCAGAGTCGGCAGGAATTGCCATTTCGGTTGCACTTGCATTGCTGAATACGGGCAACACGATGTGGCAGTCGCGAGTCAGAATCTTTTGGTACCAAGTGCGATTCGGCAGCTACAGCTTTGCGCGACCGTCTCGGTCAGCATTGACGAGCACATATCTGTATCGAGCCTTTCCTTCCTCCATCTCCACAACGCTCTTGTTCGCGTCTTCCATACTGCGCTTCTCGATCCACGGCTTCACACCCTTTTCGGCGGCAAAGTTGAGCATCTCCTCAATGTCTTTCGGGCTGCCGATGTTGCTGCCGCCAACCTTCACACCTTTCTGTATGAGGCTGTAAGCGCCAATCCTAGGCAGCTTATCTTCTGGTGCGCCGACCTGGATGAATGTTCCGTTCGTCCTGAGCAGTCGGAGGTATGACTCTAGCGGCATATCTGGTGAGCTGACAGTCGAAATGATGAGGTCGAGCGATTGCGAGTGTTTGCGAGCCCACTTCTCGTCCTCAGCTGTGGCGATGTAACCTGTCGCACCCATCGCTCTTGCATCCTTCTCCTTGTTTCTTCGTCGTGAGATTGCAACGACCTGCTCGCAACCCAGAGCCTTCGCGAACAACACTCCGAAGTGGCCGAGACCTCCCAGACCAACGATGCCGACTCTTTTGCCGGGCCCAGCGCCATTCTTCTTCAATGGCGAGTATACCGTTATGCCTCCACACATCATCGGCGCAGCATCCTCACTCTCTAGCGCAGAAGGGATCTTGATAGTGAAGTGGGCTGGGACGCGCGCGAAGTCTGCATAGCCACCCATGCTGGAGCTTCCGTCTGGATATTTCCCATTGTAGGTACCAACCATCTTGCTGCAATGCTGCTCAAGTCCGGCTTTGCAATCCTCGCACTCCAAACAAGAAAACGCTTGTGCGCCGACGCCGACTCTGTCTCCGGCCTTGAGATGCTTTACTTGGTCGCCGACGCGTACGATGTGCCCGACAATCTCGTGCCCAACGCAGACCGGGTAGCGTGTGCTCTTCCATCCAGAGCGCAAGGTGTGGATGTCTGAACCGCAAATTCCACAATGGGAGATTTTGATGTCGACATCAACTGGACTGAACGGTTTTGGTTTGAAGGACGACCAGGCCATGTTGCCTTCCGCCGCTTTGTTGTCTCGACCCAGCCATCCATGAAACTCCTCTAGAGCGGACATGTTGGTAAGGGGTCCAATCGTGGGCTGTAAAGGTTAAGTAGGCAAGGTGCCCGGAACAGATTTGCGTTTGAGGTGGTAGCGAGGAGAGA